TAATTCCAGAACAACTTACTACCAAAAGAAACTTCACTCCCCTTAGCAGACACTGTCTACTCTTTTCTTCTTGGTCCTAATGCAAAACTTACTTGCTTTTATTTATGCTCCTGAAGTACAGGGGCAGTGAGAGGATTCACCAGAGACAGAGTGGGGGGCAGAAAAGGCAGACTGAAAAAGTACACTGCTGAGGGGTGTAACAGGTAGTCAGAAGAGGTCTGCTGGCATCGTGTGGGTCAGCTCCCTGGTGGAGGATTGAATTCGTGATGCTGTGGCTTCGGGGCGCTTCATAATGCGGTGCTTTAACCCGTTGCACCACCAGGGAGACCCCCAACTTACTTGCTTTTTATAAATTTGTCTATCTTGGATAGTTCATATAAAAATAGTTATACAATAGGAAGCGGTTTTGTGTCTGCCTTCTTTCACTTAGCATGTTTTCAAGGTTCATGTGGTGTTTTATTATATCTCAGTATAATAAGACTGACTGGATAGTTTTCCATTGTTTATTCATCCATTAGTTGAAGGATGATATTTGGGTTGTTTGTGTCTATGGACTGTGTTGAATGCTGCTATTGAACACTTGTATTTAAGTTTTTATGAAGTTGTCTTTTTTTATGTCTCTTGGATTTATGTTCAGGGATGGATGGCTGTGGAAAATGATAATGTTTCACTCTAAAGGAACTGCCAAGTTGTTTTCCACAGAGGCTGTATCATTTTACAACCCAAGTAGCAATGTATAAGGATTCTAATTTATACACATCTTCAACACTTAGCTTTTTTTTTTTTTTAAGATTTATTTATTTATGTATATAGAACTGGGGTACAGGCCAGAGGTGCAGGGGCAGCGAGAGGATTCACCAGAGACAGAGTGGGGAGCAGAACAGGCTGACTGATGAAGTAGTACACTGCTGAGGGAAGCAGAGAGCAGGTCAGGAGAGAGCTGCCGCACCATGTGGTCACCTTCCCAGAAAGGATCGAACTCATGCTGAAGTGGCTTTAGTTTCTTAGTGCTGTGCTTTAACCTGCTGTGCCACCAGGGAGGGCCCAACACTTAGCTTTTTTATTGTAGTAATCATAGGGGTGTGGCATGGTATCTCATTGTAGTTTTATTTTACCTTCCCCCAAAGATTAAAGATATGAAGTATCCTTTCATGTGAGTATTGGTCATTTGTATATATTCTTTGGAGAAAAGCTAAATACTTTGTCCTTTTTTTAAATTGGGTTATTTTTCTACTGTTATAATAGTTCTTTTTATATTCTGAATACTAGCCCCTTTTCCAGATAGATAATTTGCAAATATTTTTCTCTCATTCTGTATTCTTTCCTTTTAATGATGGGTGGCAAGATTCAACTAAGTTACTACTATAAGAGGCTGAATAGTAAGTATTTTAGCCTGTGGCCCTTATGGTCTCTTTATACAACTATTGTAGTCTCCCTTTATCTCTGGTGTCATATACCTGTGGTCAAACACAGTCCAAAAATATTATGTACAATAATGATATTTTGATCACGTTGCTTTTATTAAAATGTATTATAATTGTTGCATTTTAGATGTTCTAAGCTATTACTGTGCCTAATTTATAAATTAAACTTTATCATAGGTATGTATGTATAGGGGAAAACATAGTATACATAGGTGCTATTTGAAGTTGAGGCATTCCTCTGCGGGTCTTGGGACTACTATATTATCCTTTGTGGTTTTAGTGGGAAAGAAACCATAGACAATATAAATAAATGAGGAGATGATGTTCAAATAAATCTTTGTATGTGGTCACTGACATTTGAATTTCATATCATTTTAATTGTCATTTCCCCCCCAGTTATTTAAAAATGTGAAAGCTATTCTTAGTCATGGACCTTGCTGTATATATAGTATCTTGCAAGTATATTTGTAGTCTTGTTAATAAGTGATATTAAAATATGTTTTGTTACTTGACTTTATGGAAGTAAAATACTATACTTATAGAAAACATAATGAACATATAGAAAATCATCAGCAATTGAAATAATAGTATCTAGAATTTTGTTTTATTTAAAGATTTTATTTATGCGTAAAAGAATTGGGGTACAGGCCAGAGTTGCAGGGGTGAGAGGATTCACCAGAGACAGAGTGGGTAGCAGAACTGGCAGATCTATTGAATACATTGTTGAGGGGAGCAGCAAGAGACAAGAGAGGTCACTTCCCTAGAGGGGATCGAACTTAAAGTGGCTGTGGATAGCTTCTTAGTACTGTGCTTTAACCTGTTGTGCAACCAGGGAGGGTCCTATCTTAGAATTTTATCAAAAGAACTAATATATGCTATTGTTTTTCTTTTACCCATTTAAAACATAACTTGTTAAAGATGAATAGTCTCCCCACTTGCATTTAAGATAGAGTTGTTTTTATTTTTATGCATATACTACTTTTTGAAGGTTTGGTGAACCTGTGTGTCTCTTTGGGTGGGAATTAAGCATTTCTACAATCATTTAGATGAAAGGCTTGCATTTAAACAAATCTGAAAAATATTTAACATATAATCTTTGTTATGAGTATTAATTCCACATAGTGTTAATTATGTGAGCATGTTTACTGGAAGCAGTATTCAGCATGTAAACATAGGATTCTTGTAGTAATTTAAGTGAAAGATCTACTCCTTAATAATTTAACACAATTAGATTTTTGCCTTATGTCTAGGTGTCAAAAATATGCATTGCAGCTTTTGTGTTTTTTTTTCTGAAATAGCATTTTCATAAATAAAATTAAATCTTTGATTTTAGATATATATCAAACCTATGTCAGCAATATTCAAGTAGAATTTAAGCAAGCCTTCAACAGTAACCTCTGTTACTGTTGTAACCAGAGAGGGATGTGATTTGATGGTGTTTAATTTCTTTCCCTTTGACCTAATTTCTTTAGAGAAATATTTTGTCCTTGAGTTCTCAGGCCAGATTTTCCTGTCACACTGCCTGACCTAGATCAGAGGCCTCTCTGCCCACTAATCCTTGTCTTGTTTATACCATCAGAACACTTGTATGCTGGTGCTGATATAGAAAATAAAGATATCACCTATCTTTCCCAGTGATGGGAAATGGTGGTGATAATGTATTTGGGTTTGTCTTAATCAAAGGTACTTGGAATAGCTTTATCTTTTTCTTCATTTATAGATCAATGAATAGAAACATGGGTGATCTCTCCTAGTTTAAAATTTGCTGCTAGAATTTATCCAGAATGTATTTTTGGTTGGTCTTGTGTTTAAGAACCAGCACATGAGAATTAAATTGACTGGTGTTTTTTTTTTTTAAATGTATGGGTTATTCTGTAAAGATTTAGATGTGCCTGTCAAAATCGTTTATATAATCCATACATAAGTAGTTATATTCTAAAAAAAGAGATATCACCATAGTTTGAAAATTTCTTTTTCTTCTCAGCTTTGTCTAGGTAGATTACACAAAGGTAACACGAAAATGTTACTACCTAGACCTACCAACATGTAACTAATTCCTTTGTATCTCCTGCTCTGATATCTATTCAGAGTATGTATGGGATTGTCTACCATGCTCCTTTCTGAAGTCCATGGTTACCTTGAATAAGGATAGTATTTAAGAGAAGGTTAAAAGTATATGTCTGTTAAAGATAATGTTTTCAGAGAGAAAAGGAGAAATTGCAGCTATATCCCCTCCATTTTGCAACAAGAAAAAAAGCTCCCCTAGACTAAAAATGAGAAATAAGTGGAATTAAAGTCTAATTATCCTTTGTTCTCTCTTCCCTTTACCCTCCTCATTATTAACTGTTAACTGGCTCCAACCCGCATTCCTTGGAACTTGGGATACCGAGTGGGGTTATATCCCTAATAAAATTCTCTGTGTCCCTCTAGAGTTGCTAGTGGTATCAGAAATAAATATGTGTTGATCTCTGAGAAAACACTAAACTGGGAAAGTTAAACACCTTGACTCATGTCACCTAGACAGCCCAGTATGTCCTTGAATCTGGAAATACGAACTCCTGTACTTCTGACATTCCTTCCCTCTTATAGAATCCCAGCACCCCCTCCATTGGGAGAGCTGCTTTTTGGTGGGGGTGGGGGGGGTGTCTTATCTCATGACTCTCTTGATGGTCATCTCAAATCAACTCTTTCTTGTAAAGACATTCAATTTGACTTTCTGGGCATCAGCCCAGATTTACAAAATCTGGTGTAACATAGAATATGGTAGTGATGAGAGAGATGAGGCTTTGGAATTAAGAAGCTCTTTATTCTTACATTTAACTGTATTTTCTTTTTTTAAGATTTATTAATCTATGCATACAGAACTGAGGTACAGGCCAGAGGAGCAGGGGCAGTGAGAGGATTCACCAGAGACAGAGTGGGGAGCAGAACAGGCAGATCAACGAAGTACACTGCTGAGGGGAGCAGTGGACGGTCAGGAGAGGTCTGCTGCGCCATGTGGATCACCTCCAGGACTCCATTTAACTGTATTTTCAAAAGCTGTATGATTACTGTAAATTAAGTCAGTATGATTGAGAAAGTTGTTAGTTTCTTGCTGGCGTTTAGGGTTAAGAAATAGGAATTAGTGGTGTAAAGATGAATAGAAGTGTTTTATCCCAACTTCTGTGACCAGCCGCAAGAAAGAAAGGCTGGAGGCAGAAAGGCTGAGCAAGCAGAGTTTATTGCTCCTGGACAGCAGCTGAGAAGGAGCCCCTAGAGTGGGGTCCGCAGCTACTGCCAGCCCTATGGGGGGAAGGGTCTCATGTAGATTCTAAACTCAGATTTCCAAAGGGGTGACTCATCTTCGTGTCCCTGGATGTAAGGCCCAGTTCGTTATCACCTTCTTGTCCCATCCCAGATGCAAGGCCCTGTTAATTGGATGCAAGGCCCAGTTTATTACCGCCTTATCACCCTTGGATGCAAGGCCTTATTTATTACTGCCCTTATCCAGTCCCTCAGTAAATCTCCGCACTTGGTCACTCCCAACAAGAAGGATGAAATATTTTTTTTTAAAGATGTATTTATTTATTCATACAGAACTGGGGTACAGGCCAGAGATGCAGAAGGTGAGAGGATTCACCAGGAACAGAGTGGGGAGAGAACAGGCAGATCGAGGAAGTACACTGCTGAGGGGAGCAGCGGGCGGGTCAGGAGAGGTCTGCTGCTCCATGTGGATCTCCTTTGGGGCAGGCAGTGCTTTAACCTGCTGCGCCACCAGGGAGGGCCCGGATGAAATAAGTTTATATATTTACCAACTCAAGGTTTTTAAAAATGCTCACAGGTTTGAAAAGTACTTATGAACATATATTTTCAGGGGAAAATTGATTTATTTCTTAACAGTTTTTGTATATGTTTGAATTTTTTCCATAATTGTGATATGTTTTACAGGAAAGAAAATGTGTGTGTTTTGGTAATTCAAATGACCAAAATATATTTCTCATGCATATTTGGTTTCCATCTACAATTTCTGTTTCACAACTCCCTATAAAACCTTAGAATTTCCCAAGTGTTGAGGGTACTAGAGGTGTTTTTTGCTATGTTAATGAAGTGACTCCTTCTACAGAAGGGGGTTGATTGCCAGGGAAATGGCTGTAAAATCCAGCCCCATTACTCCCAGTTCTTTAGCGAGGTAATGGGGCTTGGGCTGGAGCTGGAGTTCAGTCGCCAGTGGCCAATGAATTCTTTAGCCATGTCCATATAATGAAGGATCCTTAACAGCTCAGGAGGGAGCTTAAGAGTGCTTCCACATTGGTTAACATGCGAAGATTTGTGGGAGAATGTAATGCCTAGAGAGGGTATGGGAGCTCCTCATCTTTTCCCTGTGTTGTGCATCTACCTGTTGATTAGTATCTTCTATAATAAATTGGTGATCTAGTAATTATAAGTGGGTTTCCAGAGTGGTGTGCACCATTTTTGTAAAATAATTGAATCTGAAGAGGGCATAGCCAATTGAATGGAAGCATAAATAATAATATAGACTTGTGATGGGCTCCTTAAGTCTGAGAGGGTCTTGGAACTCTTCAATCCGTGGCTGATTGATTAGAATCCCAGATACTCTGTGGGCCTTGCCTGCAGTTTTCAACTGGCCTCTGAAGCAGAGGATGATCTCAGGAGACTGACCCCTTTACCAGTGGAGCTTGATGCAATCTCTGAGTAGGTAGTGTTTGAAGTGAAATGAATTGAGAATTGCTTGTTGGTGTGAGGAAGCCTTAGCACCTATACACATGTTGGGAATTGGTATCAGGACAACCCAAAAAAAGGTTGGAAAAATAGATTAATTTACTTTCCTCCCCCAGTTTGTTTTATTCATCATTTCATGAAGTAACCAATTACTTCATAATTCTTTTGAAAATTAATTTTAGTGAGTGAGAAATTGAAAGAATCTCAGCTAATTAATCTTTTCTCTTAATGAAGTATACACAAAATGAGAGAACCAGGTGGAAATAAATTGTAGTTTATTGAACTCATATGTCTTTATCTCTATCTTAGGTGAAAACTAAGCTGTTTCTTGTGGCTAGTGGAATGAACTACAAGTCTACTTTTTGTCAAGTACATAGTTACCATTTACAGTGAGTCTTTAAGGTTAAACACTATTTCAGTTATTTATTTTGTTTTTTTCTGCTGATCTTTCTTTTTTTTCACAGCATCCACCCGTTTTGTGAAGTGTGAAAAATGCCATCACTTTTTTGTTGTGCTCTCTGAAGCCGACTCAAAGAAAAGCATAATTAAAGAACCCGAGTCAGCAGCAGAAGCTGTAAAATTGGCATTCCAACAGAAACCACCTCCTCCTCCCAAGAAGGTATAGGTCTTGCCTCTGTCTTATAAGCATTTTATCTTGAAAGCATTTCATTGCTCCCCTCTCTCCACTTTATATTGGATCCTAATGCTACTAGCTAGATAAGCCCTATAAATTTTTTATATGGATGCTATCTGGCTTAATTGTCGTTGGTATTTGATACTTGGAATTTAGTATGGAATTCATTGCTCTTTCCCTATGGTCATGATTACTGCATTGATTAGCAATAAATACAGCTGAGTGATTATTAAAGTAGTGTGAATATTAATCTAAAGTGATATCCTTACAATAAAGCAGATTAATAAATATGGATTTATTTTTGTTAGCTTGGGCCACTAAATAAGACTAGCCTGCAACTCCCCCCCTTAAATGAGTCTACTTTGTGGTAATATGGCCTAAACCATGGAAACAAATTTTTTGCTGACTAGTGTGTCAGGATCCTCCTTTATAGCACTATAGCATTTGTAGTATAGTGAGTTTTAACCATATGAAACAAAACAGAGTACAACATTAGGTACTTGATGTATGCTTTGTGAGATGGGGGGCCCGGCCTGCCTCTGGGATGATGGCCTCTATTTTTGCCATGCCTCAGTGAGTCTCTTACACACTTAGATTATTTTTCATACTATGCCAGTGTAGCTTCTATTGTATTTAGATACCAGTGCCTCAATGTCTACCTGTAAGTGATCTATGGCCAATTTAATAATTCATGGTATAATTTGTGAGACATAAATTTTCTTTAATACCACAATAAAATATAAGTGGTCAACAACTAAAGAATTTGTCATGTAAAAATAAATAATGTAATGGAAATATTTTGTTAAGCTTTATATTCTCTACTAATTTGTATAGACTCTAAACATCTGAATCAGTGTTCTAGAAAATAAATAGGCAATATAACTATTCTCAGGAGTTAAATACTAACATTTAATTTCTATTTGATAAAATAGAAGGAATTTATCCCAGGGTCCAAGCTGTTGGCAGTACCTTAAGTATCAAATAGAACTTTAGTGTTTACTAAGAATAAAGCTTTTAGATTACCATTTAGAAAAATGAATAGCAATAAAGCTAGTATCTGTGAAAAAATGAAATGTTTGCCAATATTAAAGCACATAGGTACTGTTAATATAGTGACTATTGGTTCTGTAATGTCTAATTTTTGAAAAGGATAATTTTATAATGTTTTCTTTGTGAAGGATATTATTCTTATGATAGCAAAGGTATAGAAAGGATTTATTGTAATGATTTACATTAAAGATGGTATATTTGGACCCATGGTGACATGTATAGTATTCTAAATAACTTTAATGTTAACCTTTAAAAATTAGGATCATGGGGCCCTCCCTGGTGGCGCAGCGGGTTAAAGCACTGCACTAAGAAACTAAAGCCACTTCCGCATGAGTTCGATCCCCGTCTGCCCCGGAGGTGACCACATGGCGTGGCAGACCTCTCCTGACCCGCCCGCTGCTCCCCTCAGCAGTGTACTTCGTCGATCTGCCTGTTCTGCTCCCCGCTCTGTCTCTGGTGAATCCTCTCACCCTCCACATCTCTGGCCTGTACCCCAGTTCTGTACGAATAAATAAATAAATCTTTAAAAAAAAAAAAAATTAGGATCAGTGATACTTTGGTAAGCTAGAGAACAAATAAATTGTTTTTGTTCGTTTAGGGTATGGGGCTTCTGAGTCATTGCTACATGCCCTATTTGATCTCATCTTTGTTCACACTTAGAACTGTAAGCAGATATGCTCAGTGTATAACTTTTTAAAATGTCTGTATGGTAGCTCATAGTAAATTATTCATACTTAATCACCTTTCAGATTTATAACTACCTCGACAAGTATGTTGTTGGCCAGTCATTTGCTAAGAAGGTGCTTTCGGTTGCTGTGTACAATCATTATAAGAGAATATATAATAATATCCCAGCTAATCTGAGACAGCAAGCAGAGGTTGAGAAGCAGACATCATTAACACCTAGAGGTTAGTATTTTGATAATTGATCAAAATAGATACTATTACGATTAGAGGTAATCTTTATTTTTAACTTCTTGATTTTGTCTTAAAATGTTTTTAGTATAGTAGAGTACTTTTCAAATAAATGGTTTTGACAGTTTATTCTAGCACCTAAAAAAAAAAAGTTAATGGGTGTGAATTGAAAATGCCAGGGTATATTTGCAGTGTATAAATGCCAGTGTATATTTGCTTGTAGTTAAGTATAGTTTCTTTGAGCTTTTGTTTTCAGTTATATGTGCATGGATTCTGAGAGTAAAATGTGTTTCTCAAGAAAAATGTTGGAAAGTCACAGAGGGTGAGACATCATCTTTGAGTTATAAACCTCACCACAGCTAGTTTGCCAATACTTGGTCATTAAAATTTTCTATAACCCTTAGAGTTTGTCTCTTTTCGGTTTAGGATACAGAATTTCATTTGCTTAGTCAGAGATAATGGAGAGATGCTAACTCTTTACGGAATATATCTAGTACTTATTTGGGCTCCAAGTACAGAGAGCCCTGGTTTCTGACTTAGGCCAACAACCTAGTATTTTATTATTGTTTTAATCATTGTTTTACAGTTTGAGGGAGTTATACTGAATATAGAACTAGAATATATTTTTACTTACTATTCATAATCTACAAAATACGTAAATGATTGATTCAAACTCACTTGCTAATCTTATTGTAAGTGTTATGTAGTAGTATTAGTCACTTTAGTTTTAGAAAATGTAGGTCATGGGAGATTTTGGAACCTTCATTTTATAAGGTTCAAATAGCACTGTCTAGTCATGGAGCAAAATTACTTTCATTGTTTCTTTAGACAAGTAAATAGTGAAGCTCTTTTAGTCCCTAGAAAAACAAATGACTAAATGGTCTTTAAGTATGAGGGGGTTTAAGACTCTTACTGAAGATTTGTTACTACTCTTTTCTTAAAATAGATACCAGCTTTGTATTTAACAAATGTGTATATTAGCAAGTGGACAGCCATCATAAGCATTTTTTTTAATAAGGAAACGTTGTAGCATATAATTCTTTCCTAATATGAGAAAATAAAAAATGTTACTGAATATGTTCTTTAAATATATTTGGAAGAGGACAAGAAGTAGGATTGTTCTTGTTTCCCTGAACTAAACAAATGAAAACTAATCTAATATTTTTGTCTTCTTTCTTAGAGTTAGAAATAAGAAGACGGGAAGATGAATACAGATTTACAAGTAAGTGACCTCAGGTCTTCTTTTGAAATCATTCTTCCTTTTGAGATTTATCTCAGTGAAGTATGTCAGCAAAAGAAACATGTAAACATGTATATGCTTGTGTATATACATTACTAAGAAAAATATTATGCATTATCTAAACATTTATTATATATGGTATGTATAATTTTGGAACAGTTTTATTTTTTATATATATAATAATATAATAGTTTGTTTTTACATAATTTTGTGCCTTTTTCCATCTCAATTGTTATCCCTGTAGGCTTCCCATCACCAAATCACCACTGTGCCATCACCATAGTCCAGTGCACTTCCCTCCCCCCACCATTTTTGATCCCATTCCCCATGCCACTCCCATAAAATGTCTCTGGTATATAGTTGCTCATCATCATCATTATTATTATTATTTTCTTGTCTGGTCCTTTATACTCCTGCTATGAGTGAAACCATCTGGTATTTTTCCTTTTCTTTCTGGCTTATTTCACTAAGCATGATCCCTTCCAGCTCCAACTATGTTGCTGCAAAAGGCATGTGTTTATTTATTTTTTTGGTTGCTGCACAATATTCCACTGTGTATATGTACCACTTTTTTTTTTTAAAGATTTATTTACTTATGCATACAGAACTACAGGAGCAGTGAGAGGCTTCACCAGGGACAGAGTGGGGAGCAGAACAGGCAGATCAATGAAGCACTGCTGAGGGGAGCAGTGGGCGGGTCAGGAGAGGTCTATGGTGCCATGTGGATCACTTCTGGGGCGGGGATAGAACTCATGCAGAAGTGGCTTTAGCTTCTTAGTGCTGTGCGTTAACCCACTGCACCACCAGAGAGGGCCCTGTACCACATCTTTTTAATCCAATTATTCACTTTTGGGTTGATTCCATGACTTTCCAATTGTAAGTAAAGCAGAAATAAACATGAGGGGGGGGTGCAGGTATCTTTTTGAATCAGTGTTTTTGTGTCTTTTGGGTAGATACCTAGGAGCGGGATTGCTAGGTCATATGGAAGCTCCATTTTTAGCAGTTTGAGAAACCTCAAAACAGTTTTCCATAGTGGTTGTACTAGTTTGCATTCCCACCAGCTGTGCAGGAGAGTTCC